GGTCGTATAGCTCAGTTGAAAGGTTGTCTCTATTATAAAATGAAGACAATTGACTGCTCAAACTGCATGACTATGATGTATACCGGAGGGTGGTGGTAGGTCAAAAGGAGGCTAAACCCAAAATGACGGGAGGCCGACGTGCTGGACGGTTGAAGTAGCGAGCGGCACGCGTAATTGTGTCATGGTCGTGGCGAAATCCATCCGTGGTCCCGGGTAGTCGGGAGCTAGGCGAATCGATTTTTTTTGCAAATGGTCTGTGTCGTTATTTGAAAATGCGAAACAACACGAACGCACTGACCGCGCCCAGGCAGGACGCAGCCGAATACCGGTCGGTCAGCGGAGAGGAGCTCGCGCCACCAGGCAATGACTTCGCCTGTGGGGAAGCAGAAGAGATAGCCGGTCGAGAAGACCGGCAGGTGTCGTCCGTCTCAGCGGAAAAGCACGCCACAGGTACGCGCGCCGCCGTGCCGAGGGAGGCCGTTCGTAAGTTCGACTTGTTTTGTTTGTTTGCCGCATGTGCTTTACCAGAGCTTGTGAGGCTGACCGGGACTCAAGTCAGCAGACATGGTTATTTGTCGGAAAACCTCGCTGAAGGTGCTGCTCACTCCGGACTTATAGGGTCGGCGCATGAGCCGACTGTGTCGGAGTCTGTGAGCCCCGTTGCCGGGTAGATCATCACCAGAAGCAGGGAGGATGACAGGATGACTGCCGCCGGCTCGGGAGGAAGCAGCTCCACGGACGATGAAAGAGAGCCAAACCTAAAGCGACGGCGACTATCTCAAGTCAACATGGTTGACGACGAAGAGGTGTCGGAGGAAGATGAGGAGGAGCACGCCGTGACGAGCATCATGGGACTTCGAGACCGGGATTCAACCATCCAGTAGTTAGTACAGTGGGAAGACCAGACTTCACTGTGGAAAAGCGCAGAAGAGATGGGAAACTGTGCAGAGATGGTTGCCGCGTACGACAGGTACATCGAAAAGCATCCGGACCAGTCGACTCCGTACGCCGCGTTCGTGTCAAAGGACATGCCAAGCATCAAGCTGCTGGGAGACAACCACAAGGACGACTGCGCGTTCCACGCACTGCAGATGGCCTTCGAGCTGATGGGAGGATTTGAAAAAACATCCGTCAGGTTGCAGGAGCTACCGAGGCGTATCTCGAGCGCATGGTCATCAGCGACAGCCGTCGACAGGGGGGACTTAAGTTCGGGCAGCTGACTCAGTTCCTGAAGAATGAATTCCCTCATACGGGATGGAGCGTGAACAAGAACGCCTTCATGAAGAATCAATTTAAAGGGACGGGAACAGGCCCTTATGGCGTCGCTCAGCTCGCGTGGCGGGACCAAGACCCATTTGAAGATGGAGTGTATCTTGTGTACGCATTAAAGAGAGACCAGAAGGGACATGTTGTCGCGATGCAGAAAATTGAGGGGCGATGGTCGTTTGGGAAGACGGCGTCACCCAAGGCATCATGACGCAAACATGGATGCGGACAATCTGTTTTGTTCGGCGGGTCATGGTCGAATTGGCGTGAGACCCGGTAGTTTGACAATCGAGGCTCCAACAGGAGACCTCATTCCAAAATATTCCGAAATTGCTTAGTGAACGCTGCACACATGACCAAACGCCGGACGAGGGCCAAATCATAAA